TTTATCACTAACCCACATTGCCAGCCCCATCCACACTGTTTTAAGAAAGGAGACAGGGCTGCGAGTGTGGCTCAATGGTAGAGGGCTTGCCTTGCATACATGAGGCACTGGGTTCAATTCCTCAGCACCACATCAGCAGAAAATTCATTGTGACTTATCACCTATTAAATGCCAGAAAACTAGAAGTGACATTCTGGCTGGAAGTGGTAGCATGCCAGCCTTCAGTGAAAAGCATAGGGAATATACAGGCCCTCCCTGAGTTTAAACCCCACAGCCAACAATTGAAAGAAAAAAGAAACAATCCCAAACAAAAACCTAATTACTGGCTCATTGCCTTTGTTCTTCTACTTTTCTTTGTAGTTGTAACTTTATACTTCCTGTCATTCCATTTTCTACTTTCTTCCTTTCACTTGAGGGGTTGAACCTTCAGACTTGCACATGGAAAGTGGATACTACATACCAACCTATTCTTTCTTCTTTTAACATAAAAAGTCTGTTTATAGGACAGGGAAGGTAGCTAAGTGGTACAGTGCTTGTATCGCAGGAATGGTGCTGTGGCTCAAGTGGTAGAGTTCTACCCTTGAGCAAATGCAGCTCTGGGACAGCACCTGACCCCTGGGTTCAAGCCTAAAGACCAGCAAAACAAAAAGTCTGCTCATTTAAATTAATCAATGCTTCCTCTGGAATTTAAAAGACAAACTTACAAGTGACATAAGTTCACTTTCAATAGTATTGCCTTCCTTTCCAGAGAGTTCAGGGACCACACACAGAACTCTGCTGTCATTTATAAACTAGCTGTTGTACAACATTAAGCATCAACACATACATTTCTGTTATTATTTTGAACACAATAGGATTTGTAAGGGTAGGTAAAAATAAGTGAAGGAAACCCTTCCTTTTCACCTATTTGTTGTGATAGTAAAGGATCTATTTTGCTGTGCACTCAAGTCCCACACTTGTCATTGAAGTTCTCTCTGAACTACTTTTCAATTTCTTTTCTTCTTAGGGCACACACATTCACACACACCCTGAAGAATTTTTACTAGTTCAAATAACAATGTTTTACTACCAATTCTCCTAGTCCACAAGTAATTGTATCATCTACATAGGACAAGACTATTACATTAGGCCACTGACTTCTCTGACAGGTCCCTGTGTCAACAGTCAGCCCTGCAGGAAACACGTGTGCACCTTGGCCCATGCTGCAGGTGCCATGCTGTGCTGGTGGTGGACTGATGGGTAGCACATACCCTGCTCTGGGCTTCTCACTCCTGTCCCAAGGGGCTTGCCAGGTTTGCCTATTGCATGAAGACTTTGCACTGCCCTCCTCTCCTCAGCTGGCTCCTTACCAAACTTTTCTTTCCTGTACCTTCCATTTTGAGTTCTGGCATAGACCATGAGCCCAACCAACTTGCACCACATCAGATGAAGTCTCCACATCAAACTTTTGGTAAGAAAACATTTAAGTTAGAATGCACATATAAAGTTTTGGCTGGGTTTTGCTCAGATCCCATATACAAGTGAGGCAAAGATGGTTGGCTGTGGATGCTCCAGGTAGTCATCTACTCAAAGTACTGAGACCTCTATAACAGGGACTTCATACAGGGGTGTAAGTGATCCAGAAAAATAAAATTTTAAAAAAAGTTCTCAATTCATTTAGCAAACAAAAAAATGTACACTTAATATTAAGCTAATTATGGGAGGAAAAATGACCTAGGGCTGGACAAACATAAAGATATAAGTGCTCAAGGTAAAGCAAGGGGGCCTTGGGTGTTCCCTGAGGGTCTAGTGAAAATCCTGTGATAGCCTTGTTCAGTACCCAGTGTGCTCAGTATCCCAGCTTCTTTCCCTTCCAGTCACTCTGAGGTATATCATTCCAGGTTAACCTGAGGAAGAAACAAGGGTTCGCCTAACATCTTGTTTTCTCATTAGGGTTCATATAGCTTGGGAATTAGAGGTTCTTGGTTAAATATTTAGATCTTTGGAGAGCAGACTCTTTGGGTCCTCACTTTGAGTCATATTAACTGCCCCTGCTGATGACATCAGAATTTTCTCTAAAATAAATATGACTTTATTTGTATACTTTATCCAGTAACATTCACTGAATGGCTATTGAAAATAATCTAATTTAGAACTGAAATATTCATACAAAGGCAGAACTCTTAAAAAGCCTCATTTTGAAAAGGGCTACAGGATGAACCGTGTGGTAGGACTCTTGACATTTTGAGAACTTGTGTAACTTAACCCACTCTTAGTGATTATGTCTAGGGTGAATATGTACTCATCATGGATGACCACTTTTCTTCTGAGGACATAGCTTTTAGAATGAGCTGAAACTAAATATCCTGTCATTCACCCCTGGGAGTGGCCTTGAAATAAAGTGCAATCAGAAAGGGAAAAACAACAAAAATGCTTAAACACATCTGAACAGCTCAGATTGAAAAGAGGTTTTCTCCTACATCTATGAACACACAGCACGAGACCACAGTCTTCTCGTTCAAATATATTGATATTCTGGGACCTTAAATCATCACTACAGGAAATTCCCAGTCCCACAAACTGAACTAACAGATTGAGTAACATATCAGCCAAATGTCCATGCCTGCTTCCAGGGATACAGCCACACCCATCATTTGGGAGGCAAGTGATGGATGGGGCATTTCCTTCCCCCTGCATGAAGACAAGATGCCAGACTCCACCATCCACCATGTGGCCAATAGGGCACCAGCCACACCTGACCTCCTTACTTAATATTACTGAATATTAAATCAATTTATAAAATGTTACATCTTCTTTATCATTTTGTAAACAGTTCAAGAATTTGCTTTTTGTAAAAGCCATTTTTCTTGAGCCCCACCTCTGAAAGAATAATACTCACATTCACCAAAAATTAAACATTCTTCTTTTGAATAGTTTATTTCTTCCTTCTTCCTCATTCCTTCCCTTCCTCTTTCCCTTTCTCACTTCCCTCCTTCCTTCTTTTCTTCCTCTAAGGCCTAGAAGTGATGCTGTAGCTCAAGTGGCAGATAGTATTTTTTTGTTTATTTCAATTTTTGTGAGAGATTAATATCTTTGTGTGCTTGATTATTTCCCCTAATGTCATATCTACATTGGCCCTCTATGAGATAACACAGGTGCGACTCATCGTCCACACTGGTGTTTTATTATAGCTCACTCAGCAGAACAACTAAATGGGCTAAGATTGAATCAATCACAAGTTGCTCATCACCAGTGATTAATTAAAGAAAACAGCAAGCACTGAAGATATTTTGAGGTTTTCCCCCAAGGCAAAATGCTGAGACTCTTGCCTTTATAAATCCACCATATTTTTATAATATATATTTTATTGTAAAGATACTGTACAAATTGGTTATACAATTACATGAATTAGGTCATGAATACATTTCCTATCGAGCATTGTTACCCCTCCCAGAAAGACTTTACTACTATGTATGTACTGCAATAAGGACTAATATCTTCGATTCAAAAACTGAACTGGAATAAGTAAGTCATTTGTACTGTAATGCATGGATCAAACATACAGAGGGGGGATTTAAGGGAGCAAGAGAAAAAAAGTTGTTCTCATGTTCTTGCCTCCTATCATAACAGTCATCACTCAATCATTGTTACCCTAACCATGTTAGAGATGATCTGATCAGTCCCACAGGGACAGACCTCATATTTCTAAAAAGAGTTTATCAAATTACTCTAACACACAATTCCTTAGTATAAAAGATGCAAGTTAATAACTTCAATCTCAGAATTACTTGTTATAACTGGTTGTTTCCACCTTTGGATAATATTGAATGACACCATCCCCACTCAACATGATGAAAATATGAGAAATGTTGGCTCAGAGAGAGCTGAAGAGTGAAGAATGATTTCCCATCACACCTAGCTTATCTCTGCCATGAAGGATTTCTCTGTATAATTTACAGAGGTTTTCTGACAAAGATTTTCCTACAATGGGTTTCTTTCCTGGGTGAATGTTCTAATACTTGTTGAGGGTTGGCTTCTGGTTGAAAGACTTCCTCTCATGTTTATATTTACAGAGATTCTGTCAGGTGTCCAGGTCTCTGATACCTGTACAGATGGGACTTCGGGCAAAATGATTTCTATACTCATAATTTCTTTCCTGTCTATGCTCTCACATATGCTGAGGACTCACTTCTGATTGAAAGTCATTTCACGTATGATCTATGCACTACTTTCTTTTCTCCTATGTGAGTCAGTTCTCTGATGAACATGACGTGTTCCTTTCTGATCAAAGGATTTCCACATTTGTAATATTTTTAAGATTACTCTGCTGTGTGTCCTATGAACTTGGATCCATGAATACTTGGTAAAGGACTTTCCAAAATTGTTACATTTGTATTTTCTCACCCCCATCTGTTCTCTGATGAAAACTGAGTTAGGACTTTTTCTTGAAAACCTTTCCATTTATTTTTCCTACATAGGATTTCTCTCCTCTTTGAGTGTGAGGGTGTTTGTGTGTTCTGTGATGAACCCTGAGCTGTGTCTTGTAGTTGGAGGACTCCACATCTGCTATATCATAAGGTCTCTATCCTGTATTGGTTCTGTATTGCAATTTTAATTTTCTTACAGATAAAAGACTTTCCCATTTAGTACAATCCTAAGTTATTTCATTTGTGTGAATCAACTTATGTGTGTTAAGCTGTGACCTCCAGGTCTTTCCACACTGGTTGCATTCATATGGTTTCTCTTCTTGTGTTCTGTGATGGATGTTAAGTTGTGCCTTCCAGGTGAAAGAATTTCCATGCCTGCTACATACATTTCTCTCTGGTCGGTTTTTTTCTGATGGACAGAAAGGTATGTGTTCTGGGTGAAAGACTTTCCACAAGCTTGCATTCATAAAATTTCTCTCCTGTATGTGCTCCCTGGTGGACAGTAACTTGTAGCTCTTGGCTGAAATACTTTCAACACATATGACCTTCATAAGGTTTCTTTCCTGTGTGTGTTTTCTGATGGACAGTAAGGTATGACTTCTTGGTGAAAGACTTTCCACACATGTTACAATCATAAGGTTTCGCTCCTGTATGTGTTCTCTAATGGACAGTAATGTATACCTTCTGGGTGAAAGACTTTCCAAACACGTTACATTCATAAGGCTTCTTTCCTGTGTGTGTTCTCTGTTGGACAGTAAGGTTTGACTTCTTGGTGAAAGACTTTCCACACATGTTACATTACATTCATAAGGTTTCTCTCGTGTGTTTTCTCTGGTGGACAGTAAAGTGTAGCTTCTGGGTGAAAGACTTTCCACACACGTTACATTCATAAGGTTTCTTTCCTGTGTGTGTTCTCTGGTGGACAGTAAGGTTTGACTTCCAGGTAAAAGACCTTTCACACATGTTACATTCATAAGGTTTCTTTCCTGTGTGTGTTCTCTGGTGGACAGTAAGGTGTGCCTTCTGGGTGAAAGACTTTCCACACACGTTACATTCATAAGGTTTCTTTCCAGTGTGTGTTCTCTGGTGGACAGTAAGGTGTGCCTTCTGGGTGAAAGACTTTCCACACACGTTACATTCATAAGGTTTCTCTCCTGTGTGTGTTCTCTGGTGGACAGTAAGGTTTGACTTCTTGGTGAAAGAATTTCCACACATGTTACATTCAAAAAGTTTCTCGCCTGTGTGTCTTCTCTGGTGGACAGTAAGCTCTGACTTCCGGATGAAAGACTTTCCACACATGTTACATTCATAAGGTTTCTTTTCTGTGTGTATTCTCTGATGGACAGTGAGAGTTGACTTCTGGGTGAAAGACTTTCCACACACGTTACATTCAAAAGGTTTTTCTTTTGTGTGTGTTCTCTGGTGGACAATAAGCTTTGATTTCTTGGTGAAAGACTTACCACACACGTTACATTCAAAAGGTTTTTCTTTTGTGTGTGTTCTCTGGTGGACAATAAGCTTTGATTTCTGGGTGAAAGACTTACCACACATGTTAGATTCAAAAGGTTTCTCTCTAGTATGTGTTCTCTGGTGGATAGTAAGGCATGCCTTTTTGGCAAAAGACTTTCCACACATGTTACATTCATAAGTTTTCTCTTCTGTGTGTGTTCTCTGGTGGAGAGTAAGGTTTGACTTCGAGGTAAAAGACATTTCACACATGTTACATTCTAAAAGATTCTCATTTTGGTGTCTTCTCTGGTGGACAGTAAGATATGCCTTACTGGTGAAAATCTTTCCACACATTTTACTTTCATATTGTTTCTCTCCTGTGTATGTTCTCTGAGGGACAATAGGGTGTGTCTTCTCGGTGAAAGACCTTTTACATTGTTTATATTCTTCAACTACAGAAGACAAATGAGGACTATATACAGCACACATCTTACCAGGTTCACTGAAAACACCAATGTTCTGACACCCAGTGACCTTTTCTGTCCTCATTCCTAAGGAGTTCCCATTATTCTTAATCAGTTCTGACTTCTGTTTTGAGCTCAAATTAAAACTTTTTATAAGTCTCACTTTTTCCTCCCCTGGGTTACTATTCATGACTGCTACTTCAGAGAGATATTTATTGTGACTTTCCTGAGAGGTGCTAATCACATCCTCCATTTGTGGGACATCTAAAATGCATAACAGAAAAATAGACAAAAACATAAATGAGATCCATAAATTCCTTACTGTAAAGGTATTTTCTCACATTTTAAGAGTTACAAGATTTTCAAATATCAAAGCATTATTTTAGGCAGAAAATAAACTTTTCTCTGCAACATACTATGAATGTAGTACTGACATTTTACAATGGAAAATAATGTTTTTCTGTATTTCAGATTTTTCTATTTTTTTCTAGGAAATATTTACTCAAATGATTCATCTACGTACTCTTTATGCTTCCATTCTGAATGTCACTCTATGCCCAGCACAACTCATAAGCTATTGTCCTGATGAGAGAATAGCAGAACGACTATTCTCCTATTTTCCTCCTACCTGCATAATACTAGTTTAAAAGAAAATGAGATCTCCTTTTGTACATGTCCTATTGTCTTTTTCTCTTAAACAATGACTTCTCTACAGACAAAGAGAATTGCTAATATTAACTACACTGGCACACCAAATTCAGTTTGTCCCCAGTGAATTCTGGATTGACAATTCCTTGAGACAAAGGATCACCTAGTTCTCTGCCATACATGACTCAGGGGCACTAAGAATATTATCGTTCTGTACAGCTCAAGATAAACAGATCAACTGGGCTCTGGACCCATCATTAGCATTGTAGATGCTTTAACTCACCTGTGAAATTCTTGTCTGAGGCTTCTCTTATCCATGGTTCTGAACCTTGCTCCAGCCTCACAATCAATTCTGGTTTAGGTCCACGGTACCCTGTGAATAACAAATAGTGGAGAACAATTTGTCTTGTCTGGGTCATCATTAACGTAAGGTCGCAGACATCCTGTTCATAAGGTTGCTCATAAATGTGGTTCCTCAATTGGTTTTATGGGGGCAGTCCGGTTGTGGGGCCTGAACTCTGGTCCTGGGCGCTGTCTGGCAGATCTTCAGCTCAAGGCCAACACTGTATCACATGAGCCATAATGCCAATTCCGGCTTTGATTTTCTGCTTATGTGCTGCTGAAGACTTGAACACAGGGCCTCATGCATGGAAGGCAATTCCTCTACCACTGAGCCAACTTCCAAGCCCATGCTTTCTCAATTCTTAACTGCTCCATTGTGGAGTAGCATCCAACTTTGGGTTTATTTTGCAACTGTGTGGCTTGAACTCAGCACTTTTGCTAAAAACTAGCATTCTACTAGTTGCAGTCTTCACTACATTTCTAGTTTTTGAATAGTTAATTGGAGATAAGAGTCTCATGGTCAATTTTTTACAGCTGCTAGTTTCAAACTGAAATCTTCAGATGTCAGCCTCCGGAGTATCTAGGATTGGTAGCTTGAAGCACTAAACCCTGTAGCAGGTTTGGTTTACAAATACACAATTTCACCTACTGATTTCCAGAGCATACTGTCAGTAGTAATGTATGTTCTAGACTGTAGATCCACCTATAATAATTACCCAAGTCTGGGAAGTCAGTCTCCTATTAGTGGATCATAGCTTAGAACTTTTGTCCAACTACTGATTTGCCTTCTTAAAAAAAGAATAAAATTAGCTCTTGTGTTACATATAATGAAGTTGAAGTTTCCCTTAGAAAAAAATGACACTTCCCATGGCCTCTAATCTTTTTTTTTTTTTGAAAATGTAATGGTCCTAAGGCTTACACCTGTAATCCTACATTTAGGAGGTGAGATCAGAAGAGGCAGGCTTGAAACCAACCTGGGCACGGAAACACAGAATATACCCCAAAACAAAAGCGAAAATAGAATTGTGGCTCAAGCACTAGTGTGAAAGAAATACAAGACCATGTTATCAGACACAAATTTGACTGGCTATTATACTAGCAGTGTTTTACCTGGGAATGGACTGGAATCTTCTCCCTAAATAACATAGTCTAATGTCTACTAAAATAAAAGCACTTGATCTTCCAAGTAAAAATAACCTTTGCTCACCCAAGGACATGAGGTTGCTATAGGTCTCCAGCATTACATCTCTATGAAGGGTCCTCTGACGAGGATCCAGATCCTGCCACTCCTTCCAGGTGAAGTCCACAGCCACATCATCAAATGACATCAGCTTCTGTAATGGCACATTTCCATCAAGAAATTAGACCTGGGTTATGAGAATTCCAACCTGGAATTTCATTATGCTGCAGGTATGCTTTTGTCTTACATAAAATGTTTGCAGCTAGCTTTGTTATCTATTCACTGGGAGAATTAAATACCAAACTAGAAATAGTTGACAATACATAAACCTGGTCATTAAAATACTCAGATTTGCAGGGCACTGGTGGCTTATGCCTGTAATCCTAGCTTTTCAGGAGGCTGAGGTCTCCGGATCAAGGTTCAAGGACAGCCCAGGCAGGAATGTCCATGACACACTTATCTCCAATAAACCACCAGAAAATGAAAGTAGCACTGTCACTCAAGTGGTAGCACTCACCTTGACCTGAAGAGATGAGGGAAAACAGCCAGACACAGAATTCAAGCCCCAAGACCAATAAAAAACTACAGTTCCCATAATGCATGCAATCACATTTCTGCTGCTAGCAATAGAGAGAAGATAAAAACTCTAAGGAGACAATAATCTGGCATGATAACATTAAGTCTAAGGAGGTGTCTGAAAAATTGTATTATCATTTTTGATAAAATTTTAGTACATACCAGGGTAAAAATGAATTAAACCAATATTTTTCCTGCATTTACACATACTGCTTCACCATAAATCCTATTTAGACCTTCTATTAACAAGTACTCTCAAAAGCAAGCAGCACACATTCAGAAAATCACATGGAATACAGAACATAGAGCATTGCTAGATCTATGAAAAGCAGTGTCCACATGAATGTTCAAAAAACAGTAACAGTACTCCAGAAAGTAACTAATGATTGATTGGGCCCTTATAAGATTTAATTGAGTTCCCACATAAAAATATCCATGGTTTACCATGATTGGTTTAAAAGCTAAATATTGAAATGTGGTCATAGATACCCTGATATTTCCTTCCTATGTACAAAAGAACCGCTACCATGAAATTTTGTGAACTTTGGCTACATTCTACAATACAAAATATAGGCGGGAGGGAAAAAAAATGTTCCTTGACATAGTTTTCATTTTAATAGGCCTTCATGGAAGGTGAAGGCAAATATAGAGAGGCTCAAGGGACACTCAAGATGACAAAAATGATAAATATGACCAAATGCTCAAACGCATCACATATTCCTGAGTCCTTTCTGCAGTATATCTCTGAGGATATATTTTCACTTGTGTTAGTTAATAGTGAAATACCTCAGAGATCAAAACCAATTAGTGAGCAAACATCTGTGAGATTTTGCGACAAGTGATATTTCTAATAGAGAACATCTGGTCACTGTATTATTTTTTTTTTCAACACTAGTTCCAATCTTATACTGGCAGTGAATTAAAATATTCAACAGTAGTGGGATGGAAAAACAAAATTAAATACCTCATCAAATGAAGTTAGACCAACACAAAATCAGCAGAAAACAGATTTTCTTGTAGTGTATCAATTGGTAGAAGGAAGTACTTTTCTGTAGGGAACTCTGAAGTTGGCTGAAGGGGAAAAGGTTTGAGAGGTTGGAAATCTACCCTCACACCACTGAGAGCACTGAGAGCTGCCCGCAGAAGGGTTAAAAGAGAAATCTGGAGAGGGTTAAGAGACTGGAGTGCAGGCCTTTTCCTTACTATTGGAAAGATAGCATCTGAAACTGAGGTGCTGTTGACCTTGAAGGCTAGGTAAGGTGAACTCCATGTCTGCATTTTCTCTGGGCGACAGTCTACTGTTTCAGGAGAATAAGGAAACATGTTTTCCTCACAACCTGTTGTGGCTCTGATTGTACTATTAATATAGATACTTCAATTTTGCATGTTATCAATGGTAATCTTCCCAGTGTGCACTCAAGGAACTATGCGAGCTTTCTGACGCCCAGGGACAAAGTGCCAGAGAGCCTTTGGAACCCTGGTTTCCCATACATCTATCTGTTTGTGTTTTTGTGTTTCTCTAATTTTCTTTGTTTCCGGAATCCTGTAGAACTCTCTAGGCAATAATTTTCATATACTACGGGTAAAAAAAATGTCAATCCTAAGAGCCATGTCAGCAACTTAAAGCTGATCACTAAGAAAATCTTGTTCCAGATAGATCATTTGAAGAAAAGAAACAACTGAGACACATATGGAGGAAAGAGGGATTGAAAAAAGAAAAAAATGATAGAAAGATAGATACAAAGAGAGAGAAAGAGAAAAGTAACCAACACTAGTGAGTAGAAAATCAAAAATAGAGAGAGAAAATAGAGGAAAGAAATCTTTTG